GTTGTATGATGCTTAGCCCTTGCTCCAAATGAAAAAGAGAGAGAAAAGTCACTCTGGAAGTTCAAGAGAAAAATTTAATGATTTGTGAGTTATATTTCAATAAAAGCAAGAAAAGAAAGGTAGCACCATTGGAGATGGTCAGAAAGGGCTGGTTATCTATCAGGTAGAGAGGAAAGGTGAAGACAGTATATAAGACAATGAGGAGTTAAGAAAGGTGATTGAAGAAGATGATTCATGTGGGAGATAAAAATCCTAGGAAGAGAAGAAGCTAGATCGTGGAGACTGTAAAACACCTGGACAAGAAGGCTGAATTTTATTAAGCAGGCCTTGGGATAAGAGAGGGACCACAGCATGGCAGCACAGTATAGCTTCCTTGAGGCTAATATGTTGGACCTTCTCCTCTCCCTACCCCCAGGTGGTATGTAAGAAGTACCGTGGATTCTCCATCCCTGAGGTGTTCCGGGGGGTGCATCGATATTTACGCAATGCCTATGCGAGGGAAGAGTTTGCCTCCACCTGTCCGGATGATGAGGAAATCGAGCTGGCCTACGAGCAAGTAGCCAAGGCTCTCAAATAAGCTTATCCTGGGGCTCCATCACGCCCCCTCCATTTTTCTCCACAAAGACCCCCAAGTGGTTTCCACTTGGCTATACAGTGGACACACTCCAAAATGTCCAATGAGAAGTGAATTCTAGAGCACTTGTGCAGGACTGCCTGGGGGATGAGGGGAAGGAATGGGGGATCTGGGTGAGATTTTTATTGTGGGTGGGATGGGTAGAACAATGTATTTCAGTAATAAAACACAGAATGAAAATCTAGTGTTGTCTTTACACAAAGGGGGCTTGAAATGTGTTTAACACGGGTTGAAGGGTGGTCAGTGAGCTTGAGCTCAGGGCAGAAACCAGAAATGTAGAAGAGGGATGCTTGCGCTGATTTTGCCCCTTCTACTGTCAGTCCATTGTGGCGCTGTCCTGTGGTCCACGTCCCATTTGCAGCCCAGCCTTAAGGGGCGGCCATATCTGGGTGGGCCCGGGCACCGTTCGCCAGGCGGGGCCAAGTTGAAAGAAGGGGGGCGCAGTCCGGGTGGAGTGGGCGTGGTCTGGGGAGCCCCGCCCTGTCCCGTTTAGACAATGCCCTGGAGCCGCCAGGCCGTCGCGCCCCCGCCCCACAGTAGTACTGGTGCTCGTCACCCAGGGACTCCTCAAAGCCAAAGCTCCAGTCCCCAAGGCTTGAAGACAAACACTCTTCTCCACCAACTCTGTCCTCAGGGAGGTTGGGACCCCAGCCAAGAACACAGAGCGACAGGAGTGGGGGTGGCTGCTGGAGGTGAGTCTGGGGTGGGAGATATACACCAGGCCGTGCTGGGGCCGGAGTCTGGGGGTGTCGGGCTTGTGCCTCCACCGGACAGAGTGCGGGGGACGGACATTTGGTTGCGGAGCCGACTGGGGCGGACTTTGTGTAAGATAGATCAGAAGAGAAGGGACCAGGTCGTGGAGCCTGGAGTGGCGCCCGTTCCCCGGAACCACGCCTCCAGCTTCTCCCGCCCCTCAGATTTTGTTTTAGATCTCTCCCAGTCCTCTGGGACTTGGTCTGGTTTATACCGGGTCGCGCTTGGAGCCGAGTGGCTGGCTGGGGTGGAGAGAATGTTTAACTCCTTAGGCTCTATCTAATTCCCCCCTCCTTGTCCCTCTCTCCCTTTCTCGTTTGGATCCAAGACTTCTATCCCCAGGCCCTTTCTCCCCAGCTGTCTCCAGTCCCACAACTCCTTCGCCACACTTCGGGACGGTATGGCCTCGAGCAGCTGAGGGTTAAGGGGGGCGGGGCTGCTGCATATTTGGGGAGTGAGCGCATCCTAGCGGCTGCCAAGAGGGGCGCCGGGCAGGAACCTCACGAAGCGCCCCTCACCCCCGCCCCTCCGAGCATGGGCTACAGGTGTTTTGGAGATTAGTGGATCCTGGTCTTGCTGGTCTTCGGACTACCCATAAAGAAACAGGCTCACTAGGGTGCGGGTTGGCTAGGGTGGGCAGCAAAGGAAGGTCTGGATGAGGTGGAGAGGAGTGGGACGGGCACCCAGAGATAGCTGGAGAAAGACCTGGGCATTTTTAATCACCTCCCTTCGCCTTTCTCTGCAAAGTCCTAGACGAGAATAAGGGAAAGTACTCAGGGACGCAGAGAGGTGAAGGAGTACCCTTAAATACCGGCTGCTCTCAGCCTTTCTTTGCCTCTCTCCCATTCTGTCTCTTCTCCCACACAGGTGAAACAAAAAGAGGACACTAAGAAGTCATTGCGGCCGGCCGGAAGGGGTGCCTGTGTGGATGGGATGGGGACGCCGGGGGAAGGGCTGGGCCGCTGCACCCATGCCCTGATCCGCGGGGTCCCGGAGAGCCTGGCCTCTGGGGAGGGTGCGGGGGCTGGCCTCCCGGCTCTGGACCTGGCTAAAGCACAGAGGGAGCACGGAGTGCTGGGGGGTAAACTGAGGCAGCGATTAGGGCTGCAGCTGCTTGAACTGCCTCCTGAAGAGTCGCTGCCGCTGGGAACATTGCTTGGTGACACTGCCGTGATCCAAGGGGACACGGCCCTAATCACGCGGCCCTGGAGTCCTGCCCGCAGACCAGAGGTGAGCGCACCAGGGTGGGGTGGGGGTAGGGGAAGGGAAGAGATGGACATCCGAGGCTTTAGGGAAGAACTGGGGGTGGGAACGTCTCGGCCCTGCTCCCTCTTCTCTTGTCCTAAGGTGGATGGAGTTCGCAAAGCCCTCCAGGACCTGGGGCTCCGAATTGTGGAGATGGGGGATGAGAATGCGACGCTTGATGGCACTGATGTTCTCTTCACCGGTGAGGCCGGGATGCCCATCCAAGGGGCTTGACTCAGGGAAGCAGAGTTTGGGAGACCGGGCCATCTCGAGTCTTGTTTCTAACTCATTCCCTCCCGCCTTTAAACCACTTTGGCTACCCTGGGCTCAGGCCGGGAGTTTTTTGTAGGCTTATCCAAATGGACCAATCACCGAGGAGCCGAGATAGTGGCGGACACATTCCGGGTGAGGAGTGGGAACACCCTTGGGAGGATGGACCTGGACGCCCAGGAGGAAGAGGCTGAGAGCAGCCGGTGTTTAAGGGTATTCCCTCACCTCTCCGCGTCCCTGAGTACTTTCCTTTGTTCTCCTCTAGGACTTCGCAGTCTCCACAGTGCCGGTCTCAAGCCCCTCCCACCTGCGCAGTTTCTGTGGCATGGGGGGACCCCGCACGGTGGTGGCTGGTAGCAGCGATGCTGCCCAAAAGGCGGTCAGGGTGAGGAGGGTGAGGGCTAGGGTGGGGCACGGCCCATGAAAGGTGAGGCTGGGAGGCTCAGATAATTTGCTCCAGCCCCTGCCCTCACTGAGCTGTTCATCTACTCTGAAAACATGCGAGAAAACAAGTATAACCAGACAGGGAGCTGGGAAATCAGGGAAGAGGATCGATTTACATAGTCCTTCAAAAATCTCCAAAGGTGGTGTCTGAGCTGTGACTTGAAGGATGATTGGGGCCAATAGGTAGGGGCTGGAGAAGGGGGAATAGAAGAGGGTGGAAAGACAGGCTGGAAAGAACTGTCTGTGATTTTGTGGTGGGAATTAGCAAAGGTAGCTAAAGTGCTTAGAACAGCGCCCGACACAGAGTAAGTGCTGTGTCATTATTATTCTGCCAGCGGAACTGTCCCCATCCCTTAGCTGTGGTAGGGCAGCTAGGGTCAGTTGTGGAGAGGCTCTGACACTTGAATGCTGCCTCTTTCCTCTACACCAGGCAATGGCAGTGTTGACGGACCACCCCTATGCCTCCCTAACCCTCCCAGATGATGCAGCTGCTGACTGTCTCTTTCTGCGTCCTGGGTTGCCTGGTGTGCCCCCTTTCCTTCTGCACCGTGGAGGCGGGGACCTGCCCAACAGCCAAGAGGTGAGGGAAGGCAGAAGCTCCACCACCACCAACAATCAGAGAAAGGATTCTCAGGCCTTCTTAGTAGGAGGAGGGAGGGATACCTTCTCTAGAAGGCTGAGTGGGACCACTCTGAGCTGGCTGCAGGGGGGGCCTGGGTGTGGCCTCGGAGTCTCACTCCCATCTCCCCACTCCATGTCCTCCCTGCAGGCACTGCAGAAGCTCTCTGATGTCACTCTGGTACCTGTGTCCTGCTCAGAACTGGAGAAGGCAGGTGCTGGGCTCAGCTCCCTCTGCCTGGTGCTCAGCACACGCCCCCACAGCTGAGGGCCTGGCCTTGGGGTCCTGCCTGGCCAGCGGGCAGGGCAGCATAGGGAATGGTGACAGAGGATGGTGAATAGTTCTAAGTGGGGAGAGGGCCCCAAGATAGGGGGAGGGCACAGTGTGGGAAAAAGAATAGAAGCCACTGATTGAGTCTTCTCTTCCAGAACTAATAAAATAGAACTGAACTTTCAGACTGGGCTGTGGCTGGTCTCTTATTGGGGCAGAGGGCAGGGCTAAAACCTAAGATGGAGATAGTGATGGAAAGGAAGACTCTTCCATTCATCAAACCCTTATTTAGGCACTGTCATAGGTACTTGGGGGCAAGATGGACAGGACAGAATTTCTATTGCTGGGAGCATATATACAGGGCAGAGAAGAGAGAGTATGGGTAGATCGCTCACTAACCCTAACCCTAGTTGATAGGAAAAATGACACTTGCAGACATTTATTTTTATTCACTCATTTACTGAGGCTTAGCAGTGAGGCAAAAAGGGTCTCCTGATATCAGGGAACTCACAATTCTTGGTTTGTGATGGAACAATTCACAATAGACTGTTGTTATGAAAGACATAAGGGGACTCCCAGGGCATCAAATACGCAGGATGGCATAGACGGTCAGAAATGGCTTTCCAGAAGGCTACACTCAGGACTCGAAGCCAGGCAGGTGGTGGAGAAAAGGGAAAAGGGTAATCCATGAAAAAGAAATTGCACTGGGTAAAGGCATAGAGCATTTGAGGCCTAAGGAGAATTTCTCTAAGGCTAGTATGTTGTGTACATGTGGCGTGACAGAAATAAGCGTGGAGAGCAGGCAGAGAGTTGAGGATTAAGGAAAGAAATACTGCAGATCTGAAATACCGGCTGTCAGAAGCAGGTTGGTATTTGGGAAACATCTGTCTGCCTTCAGGGAGGAGGGTGCAAGGTCAGAAGGATGATGTAGGGCTATGGGTAATCCAGGGAAATGAGGAAGAGTACATTCAGGTTGCAGTGCTGAGCGCGAAGAAGGTATGGATTTGACTGACCTTAAAACAGAACAGCAGGACTTGTTTCATTGTGTGGGAGTGAGGGGAAGGAAGTCTACATGACTCAGTTTCTGGCTTGGGCAACAGTGTTGATCAAGAGAGAATACAGAGGAGGAATAAGTGAGAGGCTTTGGAGATGACAATGAGTTTTGGAGATGCTGTGTGCAAAACGCATAGGGCCAGGTAGGCAGGTATGTCTGAGGGACAGTTTGGAAATCCTATATCTGAGATCTGAGCTAGACAGAGTTCTAGGTGTCGTTTGCCAAGGTGAGGGCTGAAGCCACTGTGGATGCCAGCTTCCCAGAAGAGGAAGAAGGCAGATCAAGAAAGGGACAAACGTAGAATGGTGGAGAATACCATGGGTGTAGGGAGAAAGAAAGAGGGGTCCAGAAGGAAGGCATCAGCATTAAAGGAAAACAGCTTAAAGAATGGGGTAATCAAAAGCCAAGCCATATGAATGCTAAAAAGTGTCTACTGGATGTGGCCATTAGGACATCACTAGCAACCTCATAGGAGTGGAGTGAAGAAGAAAATGGAGAAGACAGGTGTAGGCCCGTGCTTCAAAGAGCTTGACTGGAAGGGAGGGAAGAGATGGGACAACTATCTAGAACTGGCTGATGTCTTAAGATGGGGAAACAGGGCTTGGTGAAGGAGTCATGGAAGTTATAGGAGATGGTGCAACAGAAGGAGCAGGATCAGTGGCAGAGAGAACTTGGAAGCCAGGTCTTCTGACTCCCAGTCTAGTACTCATGTCTACCCGGGGGTTGTCTCCTTTTTTCTGGGAGGGTTGAAGAAGGAGAGGGTGGTTATGGAGAGCCCCCAGCTGTGATTTTTGGAGTAAGGACTTTGCTTCAGACTACAACTGCATAGATGGTGGAGGAATCAGCAGGGCCCACTGGCAACAACTGGCGGGGCCTTCTGAGGGCCATATGATCCAGGTCCGCATACAGCAGGTTCTGAAAGGTGAGGAGGAAGGCAGGAGTGTCTCAGAAGTGTCTCCTTGGCAATCCAGGCTTCTGTCTCTCTTGGTCCACTTTTCTCAGGCATTCTGGCCAGTCCCCTTCCCATCCCCAAGCCCTTACCTGCTCCTGGTCCAGGTCTCCTGCAATCTTGGCCGCCTCCTCCTTTACTGGCCTTTGGGGCTCGGCTCTCACTAGCGGAGCTACGTAGGGGGAGATCGAGCTGAAGGTTTGAGAGAAGGTGACCAACTTGTCTGTCCCCAGCAAGGGCTCAGACTCAGAAATTGAGGAGTGGGTAATGTACAGGTAGGAGAAAGAAAAATAGAGTGGAGTTAGGCTCACCAAATCTGGGGAAGGGTCGAAGTGGGTGTGGGTGCGGGGATGAGCGCCTGAAAGGGATATATATATACGGGCTTTCAGCGCTACCAGCCTTGTCTCCCTTGTTCTCCGCTCCAGCCCAGTCCAAGCCAAACATCACCCAGCAATTGTCAGGCTCCACCCCTACGGCTAGTTCCGCCCACGCTCTGGCCCTGCCACTAGCTTCACATCCGGCTCCAGCGCTCCACCCACCAGCCTGTGGCCTCGCCCCCAAGTTCTGACCCCCATTCTCCAAGCCACACCCCAGCGCTACAGGTCTAGCGTTAGTGTGCGAAAATTCTGGCCCTACCCGGCCCGCGTAAGATCACGCCCCTCGTGCTCACCAGCGCTGCCACCATACCACGCCCAACGCTCCGAGTCCCAGCACCAGCCCAGCGCCCAGCAGTGGGATCCAGAGCTGGCGATATACGGACCCTGGGGAAACAGTGGAAAGGGGCGGTGGATGCTGAGGTCAGTGGTGAGAAGACGTACAGCTAGCTCTCCAGATCAGGAATCCCCAGCCAAGGCCCCCCTCCTCGTCGGGGATGTGTGTCCGAATTAAGTCCCACTGTTCACGGAGGCTTCGACCTACCCTGACTAGGCCCCGGAGCCCTGCAATCAGCCCCGTCCCCCAGCACGTGAAGCACTGTACGGCTCTCGTCCTCGTGACGGCCCCTGCAGATAAATGTGCCCGAGTCCCCCGCGCTCAGGAGCAGCTCTAGCCGCCGGATACCAGGGTCCAGAACTCGTAGGCGGCCAGCAAAGGGCTGAACTGGAGACACCGTGGGGGTTCCACTCGAAGAGGCCCACAGGATCGGGCGGCGTCCTTTGGACAGACCCTTGCAGGTTGGGAAGCTAGGCGCCCAGGCCCAGCGGATGGGATTCGAGATCCCTACGCAGGAGAGATTCACGCGGTCGCCTGGGCGTTGGACCAACGGAACTAGGGAAGGCCCGGGGCGGTGGTTAGGGCAAGTCCACAGGGCGAGACGACTCCCCCTCCTTCCTGTCCCCTCTCCTCTCTCCTATCCCACCCTGGACCTTCCCACATACATCCCACCTCCCAGTCACCCCCTCCCCGTACCTCAGTCTTTAAACCTCGTTTATTCCAACTTTCCCAGGTATGGCTTACCCGCGGCGTCCCCTTGGGCCCTTGACAGCAGCAGCGGCAGCAGCTGCAGAACTAGGGCCATGGCTGGGATGTGGTGAGCGAGAGAATCAGCAGAGGAGGCTGGACGGGAAGGGGGAAGAGGGGTTCGGCTCTTCTGGGGGCTCCGATAAGAGGGGGCAGGGCCACCAGCTTCCAGGATCTCTCCGGCAGTACTAGCAAGCAAGCTTACAGCCCTCAAACAATGCTCACTTAAAATTCTTGCTCGGGCTATTTACACCAGCATTTTCGTAATCTTTAACTCCTGCAGCAGTGCAGGTAGCAGCATCACGAATTCTGGTTCCCGGCTGGGTTCAAATTCTGACTTTGCCATCTACTAACTTCGTGATGTGGGCAAGTCGCTTAACTTCTCTGGGCCTGTTTGCTCGTCTATAAAAGCACGTATGTTGAAGATTGTGAGAACTGAATACATACACCGAAAATGCATAGAACAGCGGCTGGCATATAGGTACAGGAAGTACTTGGTATTATCATTACAGTTTCTAGTCTTATTTTAGCTCTACCTCATTTCTCTGTGCCCACGCTGTCCCTCTCAGCTACAGTGTCTCATCACCGAAATCAGCATGGCGGGGGGGGGGGGGGGGGGGGGGGGGCGCTGTGTGTGTGTGTGTGTGTGTGTGTAGACTATTTTTATTTTTTTTATTGGAACTTTTTCCATTACCATTTATCCTCCTTATCCCCCTCCCCCCTCACAATCACCACACTGTTGTCCATGTCCAGGAGTCCTTTTTCCTTTTTGCAGATCCCCCACCCCCTAACTCCAACCCCCATAGCTGTCAACCTGCTCTCTATGTGTCTGTTTCTATTTTGCTTTATAGTTCAGTTTGTTCAAACCAGCAGGTTTTGATTTTGAAGGCGCTTTGGAGCAGGTGCACATGTCCCATACCTAGGACTTCATTGGCTCTCACCGAACTGGTACCAGGAGGAGACCAAGCCCAGCCCAGCCCAAGTGGAGCCTGGGCGGGGTCCTGAGAACCTTTGAGGGGCCTGAGGCAGCCCCTCCTTAGCAGGCAGCCCCAGCTCATGCCTCAGCTGCTTTGACCTCACAGAAGCTCTTGGTGACATCACAAACCCTACTCCCTAATCCTGTAGTGGAGCAGGGGTCAGGAAGACCAAATGGGAGCTGAATCAAGATTAATTTGGTTCTTTCCATCAAAAATCTTTCCCCACATGCTCTACCAATGCTCTCTAGGGACCCAAAATTTGCAGTCATCTTGGGCCACGCCCATTGTCCATTTCCCAGGAACCAGGAGCTGCTACCACCACTACCACCACGACCACTATAACGTCACAGGAGCCTCTGGTGATGCGTCTTCAGAGGACAGGGCAGGCAGAGTCGGCTGGGAACCAGGAGGGGTATCTTGGTCTGAAACCAAGACCGAAAATGGCTCACCTACACTCCCTGCTGCCCATCCTGCCTGCCTCCCCCACCTCTCTTTCCCATCTTCACTCCCCTACTCAGTCCTATTTAGCCCCTCCCCACCCCTGGTGTTTTCCTCAGTCAGCTGTGCATAAATGGCAAAAGAGGTGCTACCAGAAGCAGGGAAGGGAGGAGTGTTGGGGTTATAAATTCCAAGAAGGCCACTCAACTGAATCCCTGGAAATCTACTCTGTCAGCTGCTGCAATTGCTACCATTCCGAGAATCTTCACCATGAAAGGCCCTCTGCTGCTTACCTTACGTTCTTACGTTCTTTGCTCTGCTAGGTCTCATGTGAGCACCTAGGGCCCCAAGGACCTGATTCACCCAGTCAGGACTTTTATACCCTGCCCTTCTTATCACCCTACACTACCCATTACTCAAGATCCCAAGCACCCCTGGCTCCAGTTGGCTGAGCTCTCTTGTGTTTCCAGAACCAGCCCTCCCTACGACCCAGTCCTTGCTCCATTTCTCAGGGACCCGCGTTTCATCCTTCAGACTCCTCCCCACCTCCAAGACCCACTCTTCTACCCAGCCAGAGTTCCAGGTCCCCTGATCAGCACTCCAAGGTGCTCCCTTCTTGAAAATCCTGATACCCAATTCTCCAACCAGCCCCAATACAAAACTCTCCAGTACCCAGCTTACCTGCTTTCTCCTCTCTCCACCTGCACTCCACAGGATGTCCTCCAAGAAACCTAGGCATCCAGTCTGGAGTTTCTTTTGCACCCCACCTTGACATGTACTCCATCAGGGACTTTATGTTCAGTTCCCCAAGCAGTGGCCTTTCCTAGTTACCCCTTGCACCTCCCTGGGGCCCACACCTCCAGGGACACAAGCATTCTGGACCTCCAGGGAGATTTCCCCAGCCTTCTAGGGAGGGAATGCCAGGGCTGCTCACCCCGAGGGTAATGTGGGTTTCACTGAGGTGCAGTCACAGGCTTCTCCACCCTTGGACCAAATCCCTCCACCAAACCTAGATGCCCAAACCTTGGATTAGCTAAGGCAGGAATTTTGGGAGGTTTCCACCTTCTGTACCCAGGTAGAATCTGATGATGTCTCCCAGATAGTATTCCTTTCTGTCAGCTTCTGGGGTGAGAGAATTCAATTCAGGTCTGGTTCCTCTCCCCGCACTCTTGGTGGGCCCAAGAGGTGAATGGTAAGTTGCTAAAGTTGGTTACATGTGGTTTTCTTCCTCCCTCCCTTCCTTCCTTTCTTCTTTCTTACTTTTTCTTGTACTTTATTTTTTGTATTATATTTCTTGTACTTTTTTAAAAAAGATTTTATTTTTATAGAGGGGGGAAGGAAGGGAGAAAGAGAGGGAGAGAAACATTGATGTGTGAGAGAGACATTAATCAGTTGCCTCTCGCATGCCCCTAGCTGGGGACCTGGCCCGCAACCCAGAAATATGCCAACTGTGAACTGAACCAGCGACCTTTCAGTTCACAGGACGGCACTCAATCCACGGAGCCAAGCTAGCCAGGGCTACACATGGGTTTCTTGCCAGCCTCAAGTTCCCAGCCATTTCTGTGCATGTATCCTCCATGATTTTTATTTTTAATATTTCTATTTCAAGTGTCTGTCTGTGACCTCTTCTAAATTCTTTCATTTTCTTCCGCATCCCCTCCACCCCATGGAATTCTCACTTTCTATCTCTCCCTAGCCCCATGCTGTTGTTGGTAGCTCTGCCCCTCCTGACTCATCCCCAGATGGAGTGGAGTAGAGGAATGTATCTAGGGTGAGCCATTCACAGAGCAACAACTCCACCCTCACCCACTTCCACTTTTTCTCTATCACTCACCTGCTCTGTCCCTGCCAGGCCAGGCAGGTCAAAACACCTGCTGCATTGGCTCTTCTCCACCCTATCCGCTGGCTCTGCCCCAGGTGAGTCAGACACCCCATCACCTCAGCCTGACTGTCTTCCCAGCTCATATTCGCTGTCATTCCTGCTACAAGGTTCCTGTGCTGGGTTGTGTGGACCAGTAGCCCTGCCACCTGAAACCAAGACACAAATGCCTGACAACAAATGTGTACCTCAGTAATATCCCCCACTTTCTGAGGCTTTGGCCCAATGGGGGCTAAAGCTGAGATGGAACAGAGAGTGACAGTAATGAGAACATTCGGCTAAAAATTACTGTGCGCCAGGTAGCATTCTGTGTGTCTCTACATGTATTGTTTCAATTAATGACAACCTTACGATGTGGTTGTTATTATTATACTGCGGAAATAGCCTTAGAGACAGTAACAGGTCCAAAGCTTCATGGCCAACAAGTGATAGGACCAGGATTAGGGGAAGTGGGAGAGTCTGGAAGTGCAGGAGGAAGATTAGACTGAGAAGAGATTAAAAAAAAAAAAAAAAAAGTGGGGAAAGCTGGGGCAGAGTTGGGAAGGAAGGAAGCCTGGGTGGGTACATGGTGGGGAGAGGTGAACACAGGCATCCCAGGTGCCCATCCCAGCTGACACCACTGCCTACTCCTGCCCGTAGGCAAGATGTGGGTTTTCTCCAACCCTTGCTGTGGCATGACTGAAGAGGTCTGATGAGAGACCTTCATCCAAACCAACTGCAAGCTGGGCCTTACCTATAACACCACCTGCTATGACAAGGACAACGGCTACAGCCCAGCCCCTAGGCCCACTCTGGCCCTGGGCCTGGCCCTCCTCACCTACTTGGCTGGCCTTGGCCTCTGTCTGCTGCGCTGACTGACACTCACTCCACAGCTGCCTCTCCATCCCCCTGCCTTAGCCTGAGCCCCTCTCCTTATGTCTCCATACCCCCTGGCTTCCAGCAATTGTCTCTCCCTAGCTCCCTTTGCTTAGAAAAACATTCCTCCAGACCCTTCCCATTTCTTTAGACAGTGGTCTCCCTATCCATCACTCCATCCCACACCCTCCTCTCTGGTTCTCTCTGGTTTTCTCGAGTCCCTTCCCATTGCCCTCCAGACTACTCCAGGTCCTCCACTGGCCTAGAAGGGCTCCCCACTTTGTCTCCACTCTACCATGCCATACTTAGGGAGGGATTAGGATCTGGTCCTGAAATGGGACTTCCATCCTGTCCCCACTGTATGGGGCTGATTCCCCAAACCCTGGCTGCCATATGTACCCTAACCCCCAGCTCACCTCTTTCCATTTTGAGTAATAAACATCTGTATCTGATAAGTGGTGCATTTATTTTCAGAAGCCCCATCTGTCAGAAGCCCCCTCTCCCAGAAAAATAACACCTTCAGGCCCTGCCGCTACCCAAGAATCCTTCATGGAGTTTCCACATAAGGCTAGGCTGGGGCGAATGGAGAAACAGGTTTCTCTGGCCTCCATCTTCTGAGTATCTGGGAGCAGCACACAAGTCTCAGTGTTTGGAGAAACTCTCCTTATCTCAAATTTAGGCCACACTGCTGAGGTACTGCTAGGAAGGAGGTGCAGCCGGGCTTCCCAAAAAGGGTGGGAGAGTTGCATGGAGATGGGACCCAGGACCCTCCTTCTAGGCATCAGTCACTCAAGGTTACAGTCAGGCTTCACCTGGTCTGGTTACTAAGTGGACACTGAATGAACCTATCCCAGGCTTACATTTATTTCCTTTCTCAATTCAGAAGAGTCCTGTTGGGAGCCAAGCTGCAAATAGGGGGCAGGAGAACCAACCCAGACAACCAGGCTTATTGATTTCTCATGAGCCCCACTCAGCCCACAGCCTGCTCCCCTCAGTGATGCTCATTGCTAAGAAGGGGTTAGGGTTAGGGTTAGATACAAGATCCAGGAGTAACATAGGGCAGATTCTCCATTGTCATTTGGAGTTGGGTCATTTAAGGAGTGCATCATAGTAAGTCCACTGATGCTTGGTTACCCCCAAATTAGAGCCTGAGTGCCCCCACATTACTCCTTCAGCCTTCTCATCAACAAAAGAGAGATGGAATTTTCCAGTCAGCTCTAGAGTGGTCGATGGATTTTAATAGCTCACAGAGGAGCTTGTGTCTTCTCACCTCAGATCGCCATCATTCCCTTACTCTCTTCCTGTCCCCTACGCCCAATATCCTCTCCACAGTCTGGCAAGACTCATGCCAGAGTGCTGCCTGCTTCAGCCATGATGCAAGTGAGGGACACAGTTCTTGCCACGGCACTGTTGCACAGGGCTCTAATGCAGCAGTCCCTGGGGGTTGTGTAACTCACATCTCCCACCAACTCTGTTTCCACTTGACTGCAATTATGGGCTGCCACACAAGCTAGATGGTGATGAGGCAAGGTCACTGAGGCTGAGAGAGAGAATGAGACAGGGGCGTTAGCTTCCTGCCTGGGGGACTTGCCTTCTGGGGCAGAGCAGATGTGATTTCAAGGAGCCCAAAGGGATTTTCTGCCCCTTAAAAAACACCTCCTGCCTTGACTGGTGTGGCTCAGTTGGTTGGGCACCCTTCCACAAACCAAAGGGTCACTTCTTCAATTATTCCAGTTAGGGCATATGCCTGGGTTGTTCGTTTGGTCCCAGGTTTGGGCATGTATGAGAGGCAACCAATTGACATTTCTCTCTCACATAAGTGTTTCTCTCCCTCTCTTCCTCCCTCCCTTCCCTCTGTCTACAGATAAAATCTTTTTTTATTGTTAATTTTTAATTGTTAAAAATTTTTTTGTTATTAACTTTTTAATTTTTAAAAATATTTTATTTATTTATTTCTAGAGATGAGAAGGGAGAGAGAAAGAGAGGGAGGGAAACATCAACATGTGGTTGCCTCCCATACAACCCCTATCCGGGACCTGGCCCACAATGCAGGCATGCACCCTGACTGGAAATTGAACCGGCGGCCCTTTGGTTTGCAGGCCAGCGCTCAATCCACTGAGCCACACCAGCCAGGGCAATAAATAAAATCTTTAGGGAAAGAAAACACCTCCCATCCTCAATTCCCAGTCAGGGCACATGCCTGGGTTGCAGGCCAGGTCCCTGGTAGGGGTTGCGTGGAAGGCAACCACACATTGATGTTCCTCTCCCTCTCTTTCTCCCCCTCTTCCCCTATCTAGAAATAAATAAATCAAATCTTTAATTAAAAAAAAAAAAACACAACACTTCCCCAAAACTAAGTGATCAAAATTAACCCACCAACATTTTGAACCTCCTGATGTGATGCATTGAAAAGAACCAACATTGTGTTTGAGGTGTTCTTGCCAAAAGCTCGTGACCTCAATCTGTGAGAAAATATCAAATTCAAATCGAGGGACATTCTATATAATAACTTATCAGGACATTTCAAAAGCATTAAAGTCATGGAAGACAAAGACTCAGAACTGTCACAGATGGGAGCAGCCAAGAAAACATGAGCGCTAAATACAACGTGGGCTTCTGTTTTGGGTCCTGGAACAAATGACTAAATTGAGTAAGTTCTGCAGATCAGTTAGTAGTATTGTACTATTTTTTTTTCTTTTTAAGATTCTGTTTATTTATTTTTAGAGAGAGGGGAAGGGAGGAAGAAAAGGAGGGAGAGAAACATTGATGTGAGAGAGGATATCCATTGGTTGCCTCTCATACATGCCCCAACCAGGACCAAACTTGCCTGGCATGTACCTTGACTGGGAATTGAACAGGCAACCTTTGGCTTTGCAGAAGAATGCCCAACCAACTGAGCCACACCGGTCAGGGCTTTACCAATGTTATTTTTTGATTTTGATAATTGTACAGTTGGCCCTTGAACAACATGGCTTAAATTGCATGAGTCCACTTATACTGAGATTTCCCCCCCATAACTATAGAGCTGGCCTTTCATATCCCAGGTCTCACATCTGGAGAGTCAACCAACTGCAGACTGAAAACAGTATTTTTGGTCCACAGTTGGGAATCCTCAGATGCAGAAAGCCGACTGTACGCATTCTTCTTTGCCATTTTATGCCAGGGGCTTGAGCATGAGGGATTTTGGTATCTGCAAGGGGGCTGAGTTAGTACAGTAGAACTGATCCACCTCAGATACTAAAGGATGACTGCACTTAAATTTTGGGGGAGTCGAAAGTTACACATGGAATTTTGACTGAGCTGAGGTCAGTGCATCTAATCCCCATGTTTATCACGGATCAACTGCACTATGGTTATATAAGATGTTAACATTAGAGGAAACTGAGTGAAGGATATACAAAAATTCTATGTACTACTTTTGTTATGGGAGAAGCTCCCAGAAACTCAGTTCTTCTCTCAATACAATAAAGAATTATAGAGCAGCTTGCCTATTAGCATGCAAAGTTTATTAGTGCTAAATTCTAATGGGAGAGCAAAAGCAAAAGTGGCAAGAACAGCGTGGCCAGAGGCCAGGTGTCCAAAAAGGGTTGGCTGGGGGCCTGGTGGCTAGAGGCTGGTTGGCCAGGCCCCACACCAACCCCAACCCTCCCCACCCCTCCCTTCCCCTCCCCTCCCCTCCCCTCCCCTCCTCTCCCTTGACCCTCCCCACCTCCACCCAGTGGTGAAAGAGCCAAGATAGTGAGTCCTTTGTCCTGAGGACTTACCTAGTTGGTGAGATGGGACTGTTGAGGGCGGGGGGGGGGCGGCGCGGGGGGCGGTGCCGGCGGTCTGTGAGCCCTAATTCTTATCTGGCACCAGTCTCTATTTGTTCATTTTGTATACATGACAGGAGGCAGGCAATTAACCAAAGTTTTTTTATGGGCTTCACTGTGGACCTCCTCCCCTTCCCCCTTCTAGGCCTTGGAATGAGTACAGTCTCAAGGTTTTCCTTTTCCCAGCTAGTGGAGATGATGCACACAGACTTTCAAGGGCTCCCGGCTTCCTGCACTATCATAGTTTACTTGCGTTGTTCGGAATGCCCAGCCCCCTTATCAAACCAGACATGTCTTCCTTTGCTTTTAGCTTCCTGTATTAAGTTCTTTGTTAGATTGCAATGGTGAGGGGCCCTGCCCTAATTTCCCCTCTAGCTGCTCATTCCTAGCGGTTACCCAACATTTTTACAACTTTTCTGTCAATCTGAAATTATTTCAAAATAAAAAATTAAAACACACACACACCTCCTTGGTCCTTAGCTGATGCTAGAAAGTTGATGTTTGATTTAATATTTTGGTCCCTGCTTTCAAGGGACTGGGCTTTTTCAACCCCGTGTGAGTGGGACCGCACGGACAAGACAGAGGCTCCTGAGTGGCTCACAAAGGGGAGCAAGAAGGGGCTACAGACAGCTCTCTGCCAGCAGCACCATCAGCCCAGACCCAGCCTGATCCTGGAAGGTTCTGGAAGCAGGGAAGGGCTGGGGAAAGAGGGAAAAACTGAGGACTCACAGTTTTCAGACAGCTTGCTCTGCCCCAGACCTGGTGCCGTTTGTGCTCCAGGAAGCTGCAGCAGTCGCCCTCACCACAGGTGGTCACCCTCTCACTGCGGTTGAAGCACAGCATGGGGTTTCCTGGCAGGAGAGAGAAGGCACTGGACCTGGACTCTCATGGAAGTCAGCAGGCAGAGGGGGACCGGCCTGTGTGACAGGGTCTTTGGCTGACTCCTTACCCAAGGTAGCCCACCCTACCCCCGGAGGATGCTGAACAGCAGTGCCACAAGGCAGGGGACATGGGGACGGGGGTGTCCATTGCTTTTGCCTGGGCCAGCGGAGCCTCTCCTTCCCACTTCCTCCCTGGCCCTGCTCTGCCAGCCTTATGTCCCCCTTGCCTTGGACTTTATGGGGAAGAAATAGTCTCCCTCAGCAGGCACTGGGGACCCCAATTGGGATGGAGAGGGGCCTCCACAGGAGAAAGCTCTCAGCATTCTCTCGAGTCCCCAAACTCCTCCATCCCCAGCAGTGGTTCTGAGACCCTTTCAGAGGGTCCTCAACAATCTTCTTTTTCTAACCCCATACCTGTGTGAGGTCACATTTTCTTCATATACTTCAACCAACCCAACATATCCCAACAGATTGAATGCGGAAGTAGATATGAAAACCCACCCATCTTCCCTGGGAAAGAAGTTCTTTACCCACACCATCCAGGCCACCATCTGCACTGCCAGTTATATTCACTGGGCACCTACTGCATGCCAGGTACTCTGTTAGGTGCCGGAGAAGCAGAATAAAAGATGTTAGGCAACTCTCCCAGGAACTGCCAATCAAGAGGAGAGACTGGCAGGTAAAGAGAAAGGTGACACAGAGTTCCACGGGGTGGGTTGGAGGCAGAGTGAAAAACATTGTAGCCTTGAAGGAGGCCCAGTGCTGAGGGAGAGAGGGAGGCAGGGGAAAGGGGCAAAAATGTGTTTTGTTTACATGTAGTAGGTTTATTATTTTACTTTTTAAATGAACTTATTTAAAAGGTTCTGTTTTGATTTCTAATAGAGTAAATGTTAATATAACTCGCACAAAGAGAAGTTCTCTGGGGCCTTCAGTAATTTTAAGAGTGTAAAGAGGCCCCGCGATAAGAAGTCCGGGAACACTGCGGCTGTGTGGAGAGCTGTGCCTCCTCTGTCCCGCCTCACTCCGCCCAGTTTTATCCTGGGACAGTCCTGCCCTGATTCTCCAGATGCAGTTTTCCTCCTCCCCAATCTCTTAAACCCTATCTTCGACACACTGCCACCGCCCCCCAAATCTTATCCCTGCATTTCTCCTTAGTCTTTACATTTTTATCGATTGATAGATTGATTTTTTTAGAGAGAGAGAAACATCAATCTGCCGTTACACTCACCTAGACTTCATTGGTTGCTCCTGTACATGCCTTGACCAGGAATCCAACCCAAAACCCTGGCGCATTGAGATGATGCTCCAGCCAACTGAGCTACCGGGCCAGGGCTCTTCCTAATCTTTGTGGTCCCCCCCCCCCCCCCCCGCCCCGCCCCACCCCGCTGCTGACCTTGTCCTGGTGGGAACATGTCCGACCCTCTAACCCCCAGTGGGACTAATTCTCTCCTCCCAGGTGGTAAACTGGGAGAGACAATTATGGGATAGGGATGTTGAGACTTGGGGGGATTAAAGGGATCTGAAGTTGCAGGGCCCTCCCTTAAAACAGCTGGGTTTTGTCGGGGGCAGGTGGAGGGGATGTTGTTGATCCCACACACAAACGGATCTGGGCCAGGATTGTTTAGAGGGCGGCTCTGCGAGACTTAAATGAACAGAAGGGGAAAAGAGAGAACAGTTTGAGACAAATGTAGGGAAAGGAGAGGAGCAGGAGGGAAGGTGACAGACACAACTCTGGAGCTCAGACACAGATGAGAGAACAGAGAAGACCCTGAAGGCAAGGACAGACATCAGTAGGAGCAGGGAGATATGGGGTGCAGGAGCAGAGGGCCAGGGCCACTGCTGGTCAGGCTGGTGAATCTGGTCTGGGTTCTGCAGCCCCCTCCCCCAAGGTCCACTTCCTACATATGTTTGTTTACTGGTCCCTGCCTGTCTCGCTCAGGTGCTCCAACTTTCCAACCTGGGGAACAGAGGATGCAGGTCACATTCTCTCAGACTCCTGAGCCTTGGTCCCAGCCATGGGCACCTCCAGCACCTTCCTCCAGCATCCTGTTTTTCTGCAGGGCACTGGGTAACGGGGGGGGGGGGGGGGGGGCGGCGGGGTTGGGGATCCTCTGGGGCCTGAGAGGGACGGCTAGGGAAGGGGTTGATGGAAAGGCCTGAGGGCTGGGGGGGCCAAGGGAGCTGAGAGACACCAAGAATAGAGTTAGTTGTAGGAGGTTTAGAAAGAGAAGCTACTGGGAATGGCCTCAGACCAGCCAGGTAAAGTGTCTTCTAAAGGCATTGGAAAACAACTGTCTCTTCCTTGTGATATTTTAAACAAGCCTCTGTTTCCCTTGTCCTTTATCTCAACTCTTGCTTTGCTGGACCCCTTGGTAAATGTCAATTCAGATTTCCTCACTTGTCTCTTTCATCATCTGCTTAATTTCTTCACTGCCATCTCCCACCCTTGGCTTCTGTTAGTCTCTAAATTTGTCTCTGATTCTTTTGGCTTCTGTTCACATCTGTGTCTCAACATCCCTGTAACCCTTTTGCCTCTGTGTCTTTCTCTTCTGTCTCCCCTCCCTTCCCTGTGTCTCTTTTTATACTTCTGTCTGCCCTTCTCACTCCATTTCACTGCTTCCCTCTCCCCCCTTTATGTGTCACCTCTCTCTGTGCATGCCTGCCCCGGATCTTGGCTCTGTCTCTCACGTGTCAGGCTCGCCTCTCTTCCCTGCCTCCTGATCTCTACCAACCTCGCAGGTCTCACCACTTCCTCTGCCCAGAGGCAGCTCCGCTGTTACACCCGCGGCTTTGCCAAACCCTGCTATCCTGTTCCCACTGAGTGTCAGGACGATGAAGCTTGTAGCATCAGTATTGGCACCTCAGGTAGAACTCTGGTCCAATGGCCCTACTCCAGGTTGTTACCCACCTCCATCCTTTCCTGCTGCCCCTGGCCTTACCTCCTTCTTCCTCCTGCCTCAGCATTTTCCCTCTGTCCCATAGAGCAAGGTGAGACCATCTGGCAGAAAGGCTGCTTCCCAAGAGCCCAGTGCTCTCTGCCTGGCCATGCCACCTACTGGTCACGCTCCTATGTTCTGCAGCACCACTGCTACAACCTGCATCTGTGGAATGTGGCCACGATGCTGTAGCGGCACCCCAGCCTCCTCCTCATCACACCGCTTCTCATGGCCAGCTGCACTTGGGGAGGAAATGTCCTTCTCTAGCCTCACTCAGATCTGCAGCCCTCAGCCCAGGACTCCTCCACCATCACTATGGCCCTGGAAACACCTACCCAGACACTTTTAAGATATAACCAAGAACCTGATTTTGTACAGAGATCTCAGATTCCCGGCCTAACACCTTTGCAGACCCATTTCCAAAACATGATTCCTATGGATACTGCTCCAGCCCTTACAGCCACCTGCCCAGAACCCAGTCTCATAAAAAAACACCTGTTCTGTATCTTTTTTCTTTTGTAGATGCCCATTGCTGATGCTCTCTACCAGCCCCAGGTCTCTGGTAAGACAGCTGCCACAGGTCCTAGGCAGAGGGATAAAAGTGGTACCAGGTATGGTGAGGAGGGGAGTCTTGCTAGGGAAGGTTAGTTTGGCGGGTCAGGAACTCAAGAAGGAGGGTTTTGGGAAATATGAAGAGTAAATTTAAAGCACTATCTGGGAGTCTGGCAACACTGCTCGGTGTGTGTGTTCTCTGAAAGCAAATTGTAGCTGCTTGGTGGGTTGTGCTGGGTGTTGGAACCTGAACCATAACTTTCACCTCATTCTCCATCCATGTCATTCATGTCCTCCTTCTTGCTAATAGCTTAGCCGAAGCCACTGCAGTGTGAAGGCTTTAGGTGAGACTTCCAAGAAAGCTTTTCTCCAGTGAGGGCCAAGCTTGAGCAGATACATAAAAGGGAACTGCATGGAGTTGCTTGTTGAGGGTGTGGCTGGGAGTTGAGTTTATTTCTGCCTGAGCCTGGGCAATGGACAAGTAGGGAGCATCACTGTGCTCCCCTGCTTCACCAGACCTGTCCATGGTTCACAGACAGCCCAGGCTGCAGGGCCCTATCACACACCCTGTCATGGAATCCACCCTCCTGCCCCGGTAGACATCCTGCCCAGGGAGATAACGTGCAACTCTGGTATCTCAGGATGGCAGGGTGATGCTAAGTGTCTCACTGCTCCAGGTGCCACAATGGAGCACCTAGGATGAGGAAGGTGATCAGGATGAGGGACGAGCATGGGCACCCCCATGTTGACCCAGTTCCCTCCCCTTCAATCTGAGGAAGTCTTGCGTCTAATTAAAGGTGCTTGTTCTCTCTCAACTTCTCTTCTTTGTAAGGATTTGGGAGGGAGAGGCTGGTTTAATTTAGAGGCCACTTGAGTTTTCTTTCCATTGTCTCTGTCCCTCAATCCTCCCACTTTGTGCTTCTATTTTTATGTATCTCTGAACATCTCATCTCTTATTCTGATTTGAGTCTCTTCCCTTCTCTCTTCTTCAGTTTCCACCGTTTGTTCTCTGGTTCCTCTATGCCTGGTTCACCACCACTGCTCAAATCCCTGGATTCCTCTCTCTCCTCTCTGCTCATTCCAACCCCTATTCACTCTCTGCCAGCTACACCAGGCTTCCCTCACTCCCATGGCTTCAGATTCAGGGCCATCCTCCACTGGCTGCTACAGATGGGAGACCACACATTTTCAGAGGTGACATCACAAAATAATGCTTCTCCTTTCCTTCAGGCCCCCACCCCAATACACACACAGCTTGTCTGCTGGAGACCAGCTGGGTTGTGAAGTAACACTCTCAGACCCTCCCCCCTTGCCAAGATTTTTCAGGGAATCCTTTAGGTGCCAGATGGCCAGGGAGACAGCAGGTCACCTTCCAGTTGATGTCACCGAGATCATCTTGTCTTGGGGGCAGGGGGGCTGCGGGTTTTGTGAAACAGAAAGACAGATTAAGTATGTTTCCAGCCCTGGCTGGTGTGGCTCAGTGGATTGAGCGCTGGCCTGTGAACCAAAAGGTCGTAGGTTTCATTCCCAGTCAGGGCACATGCCAGGGTTGCGGGCCAGGTTCCCCAGTTGGAGGTATGCAAGAGGCAATTGATCTATTTATCTCTCGCACATTGCTGTTTCTCTCCCTCCCTTCCCCTCTTTAGGTGAAAACTAAAAGTAAATAAATGCAATCTTAAAAAAAAAAGACACTTCCATTCTCCACCCCCTCAGGAACCAGAAACCCATGTCAACCCCAACCTCAGTCTCCTCTGGAACTTAAACCTCTGTCCCCTACTCGTTCCTCACCTGAGACGGGCCAAGTGAATGTTCTCATAGACCTGGATTTCAGGTTTGAACTGAGGAATTGAGGCATCTGGGGAGAAGGAATCATATGGGGCATGGAAGAGAAGTCACCAGATAACTCAGAGCTGTATTCCCTACCCTCTCCTCTCCTGAAGAAGATGGGGTACAGAGGCAAAATATGAGCCCAATCCTCTGTCTCACACCCAAATGCTCTCTTCTTCTTTCTGGGAGGGAGGGACTCACCTCTGCACTGAGCACCCTGAACCCTCTGCCTCCAGAGCATGATGCTGAGGACCAGAATGGTAAACCCCTGGCCTGCTGTGACCAACAGCACCAGGATCCAGGGCACATCCAAGCCTGTGGAAGGGGCACAGAGGGCAGGGGAGGCATCCATGGAGGCTGCAGTAGAAACAAGACAAGAGGATAAAGAAGGAGGTGGTAAGGGGGTCTGTCCCTACGCCCCAAAGACATGTTTCCCCCATAGTCTGGTGGGCTCTCCCAAAAGAAAACTTCATAAGTTTCCTTGTCCCCCATTCTGCCCCTTTCCATGTCTCTTACTCTGGCCCCATGAGCCAACATGGATGGGGAATGGTAATGCCTTCCCATACCCAACATACACATGGACAGCTAACTAAGCAGACCACAGGCCATAACTGTCATTTCTCCTCATATCCTTCACAGTAATCCACCCTTTCAAGAAAAAATAAAGTGCCTTTCATGTATCCATTCTTTCTGTCACTCCATAAGTGTTTGCTGAGTGCCCACCACATGCCAATCACCATAGTAGGTGCTGTGGACGTAGAGAGAAATAAAGTTCAGTCACTGCCATTATTGACAATTGCTTACCAAAATAATAGCCATTTGCTCCCCCCTCCTGCCTTGTAAATGGATTATTCCATATCCAACATCATTCTTTCTCTGTATAATGGACTTTTTCTGGTAAAACAATTATATTTTTTTCTCCCTCTGCCTTTACTATCAATGGGCCATTATAAGTGCATAAGTGCATAAGTCCTTTCTTTAAAAGACAACTCCCCCACAAGAATTCTTCTTTCCTCCCTCTCTGCTACAGGATATTCCTCACAAATCATAGGTTAACCTATCTCTCTCTCTTTTTTTAAGACTTTACTTATTTATTTTTAGAGACAGGGGAAGGGAGGGAGAGAGGGAGAGCAATTTTTATTGGTCGCTTCTGGTAAGCACTCCAACTAGGGACTGGGCCACAATTCAGGCATGTGCCATGACTGGGAATCGAACCCATAGAACTTTCACTTTGCAGGATGATGCTCGACCAGCTGAGCCACTCCACAGGTCAGGGTCTATTAACCTGTTTCAAAACAATGATCTATTCCACCAGCAAGCTGGCTTAACCAACCCTCTTCTTTGTTATGGATTCAGATAATGAGAAAGAAGCCCTCCTCCTACAGGTTATAATCAGCTCCACCAAAAATCAGAAATCACCTCTCCTGATCTGGCCAATAACAAATTCACCTCCTATCTCCTCCCCTAGCCAGCAGGTGTAGATGTGCCAGAGGGAACATCCCTTCCCATATCCTCCCTCTGTTTACCTGCCAGGCTAAAGCTGATCCCCTTCTTCTGAGGGATGATGCAGCGGATGACCCTTGGTCTACGGCCCCTGGGCTCAGGAAGCTCCTCCCCATGATACACCAAGAGCAGGGCACCCCCATCGCCCCAGAAGGACTGTGCACGGCCCCTCACAGGACCCTTCCCCTCCAGCCAGGTCACAGAGTCCAGGCGTCTGGCAGGGACCACAGAGCACAGAAGGAGAGAGCAGGGGGATCCATCTGCAGCTCTTGCAGATAACTGGGATCCTGTGGGAAGAGAGAGACCCCTCAGTCCCTTCCTTGGGCTTTCCCATCTCCCAGCGGCCCCTGGCCTGCATGCCCTCACTCACCTCTGAGCACGGAGACATCATACACCCTCCAGTTCTGGTGCCTGTGGTGCTGACCCAGCACGGTGCACCAGTACCGCCCAGCATCTCCCTCCTTTGCCCCGTCTAGCCACAAAGAGTAGTTCCCCAGCAATTTGAACCTGGATTCCCTTCCAGATTTCCCAGGGTCTGGAGCTGGGCTGGCCACTTGGACTTGGGTCACCAGGGTAGTGGAGGAGCCTGTTGCAGGGCTGCGAAACCAGGACAAGAGTTCGTCCCCATGCAGGGTAGGTGGTGAGGGACATGGTAGCTCCATTGCCTCCCCCAAGGCAATATAGATGGCCTGGATGTTATCTGTGGGAAGGCGCTTGTGTGAGGCCAGAGATCTCCATCAGATCAACAACCACCCAGCTCAACCTCCAACCCCTGGCTTCCTCCCCTTCTGTGGTCCCCCAACACTGGCCTGGCTGTGAACACATTTCTCAAGGGACAGCTACAAAAAATGTGAGGTGGGGAGAAAAGGGTAGGGGCTTTCCTCCCCTCTCCAGTGAATGAAGGAATCTGAGGGCAAGAGAGAAAACGCTGGAATAATTGGCAAATGCCCATATCTCTTCCTTTCATTTTTCCTTTTTCTGGAAGCATATACTCAGCCATTCTTGTTTTCTAAAGGAAACTGCACATGACCTGGATCCTTAGCGTCTCTGGTTCTTCCCCAGTACAAGAGACAGGGGGAAGTCAATTGGGGTAATTCAATCAGATGCCTACCCCAGGCCCCTAAGGAGAAACAGCAGCAGTCCCTCACCACATCCCAGAATCCCCCATCTCCTGCTCCTTACCAGCAGCAGCCTGGGAGGGCCCACAGAGGAGCAGAAGGAGGAGGAATAAGACTGCCATGGGAAGAGCCTTTCAAGTTCTCTTGCTTGGGACCTGGTATTCCCAGGGAGGAAACAGAGCCCAGATAAAGGCGCACACTCACTGGTCTGCAGTGACATAGGCCTCTGGAGGGGATGCGAATGCTGGGGAGATAAAGCCCAGCTGTAAGTCTACTGCAGAAGAAGTGACCACTGCCTTTCTGTCCTGATGGAGAAAAGACCCAGTCCAGGCTACTCCGAAGAAAACCTCCTCACCCTTCTGGCTCCTGACTCCACATTGGCAGAGGGACTCAGATCAAAGACTCTCCACTCTGAGAAGTCTTCACAGAAGGATCACAGGTTTCTACCTCCCACCATTTTGGAAGCGTTCTCTCCTCCATCCTAAGAGATGCCAGCCATGAGGGGAGAAACTGGATCTTCATGTTGGTTTCCACGGAATCCAGCACCACACTGCACACACAGCCAGTACTTCAGAAATTATTTAGAATGGCTTTCCTTGTGGCTGCCTGGCACACCACATACCTTTTCTGAGACTCAGATGAGTATATTAAATTCTTGCTCAAGGAATAGAATAGCAAGGGCCTGGAAAATTCACTGATTCATCCATTTGTCCCAGGCAGGGCTCTCAAGGCAGATCTTCGTATCTTCATATAGCTATAATAGTTTTTAATGTGTTATTTATTTTTAGAAGTTACCTATTTTTGCCCTGTCTGATGTGGCTCAGTGGATTGAGTGCCAGCCTGTAAAGAAAGGGGTCACCAATTCTATTCCCAGTCAGGGCACATGCCTGGGTTGCAGGCTGGGTCTCCAGTAGGGGGCATGCAAGAGGCAACCACACATTGATGTTTCTCTCCCTTTCTCCCTCCCTTCTCCTCTAAAAATAAATAAATAATTTTTTTAAAAAAGTTACTTATTTTCAAAATTATTTTTGTATAAAATAGTTCATGCATGCCAAAGAGTACATCTAATGTATAACTGTGTAATGGCTAAGTTGTGGTATGTTCACACAATGGACCATTCAACAGCAATGAGAATGCACAAACCACAGTGACATACAATGAGGCTGAATCTCACCAATGTAATGGGAGTAAAAGAAGCCAGAAAAAAAGCACATCATTCCATTTATATAGAGTACAAAAAGAAGCAAAACTAATCTAAGAGTTTTGAAATTAAGGTTGTGGTTACTCTCAGTGGGTGGGTAGTGATTGGTAGTGATCTACAAAGGGTCTTCTAGATGTCGCAATGATGTGTTCTTGATCTGGGCACTGAGACATTGATAGATTCAACTGGTGCACTTTTCAGTGTATGTGTTTAAAGTAATAAAAAGCTAAAGAGTATATATACTATGTAGGTGTAAGGTACCATGAAAAATAAAACCTGTATTCTATTAAGAAACCAAATATTACCATTTTAGTTAAAGATTCTCTATGCTGTGTAACACTTTTCCGAATTTGCTTTATCTTTCACTTGCTCATTAGATTTTGTTTTTGAACTTTATACAAGTGGTATCATGTATGTAATCTGCGGCTTTCTCTTTTCTTTTTCTTTTTTTCACTCAACGATACGGTTTTGAGAGTTGAGGGTGCTTAAGAGTGATGATTCATCAGTTTTCTTTTTACCAGTATTTCACACATCTTAACCATACTTCCTATCCATGACCATGGGGTAGCTCTCCATTTATTAAAGTCTTGGTTTACCTCTTTCAATAACCTTATATAATTTTTTTCATAAAACCTTGCATTTATTAGATATATTCCTGGACACAAAACCTTTTCTTATTGCTCTTGTAAAGTGTTCCTAATACTACCCTTCCTGCCCAGTTTCGCTCGAGTGTCTACTAGTATCAAGGGCTAGAAAAAAGTGAACTATGCCTGATAATTTTTTTAACTCTCCGCGTTTCAAACTCCTCCAGGTAATTTCTGACCATTGCCGCACTCGTAGGACTAACTGCACGGTATACTTCTCTAGAAGCCCGGAAAACGACCCGACTCGGCTCCAGGCAGAGCCGGTACGTGCTGACGTCAAGGGAACGCAGCTCCTAGAGGCCGGAGGGGGCGGGGCTCGTAGGGGGAACTGCTGCCGGGAGAGCAGGGCCCCGAGCCAGGGTCATGGCGAAGCTGCTAAGCTGTGTCCTCGGCCCCCGGCTCTACAAAATCTACCGCGGAAGGGACTCTGAAAGGGTTGGTTCCGGCGTCCCTGAGACTTCAACTTCAATTACTACGTCCCCTACCAGCTCCTGGGTGAGTCGAGTTCTCCCCTGGTCAGAAACATGGTACGGCCCAAACCCCTTTGCGGCCTTTGCTCTTAAGAGGCGCCCATTATTGGAAATCGGGGGAGCTTGCTTGACGAGTCAGTTGTGCGCACAGTCTGCGTTATTTGTGCTTCCTGAGTTAAAGTCGTGACTGTGGGCTGGCCACCTCCTTTATCGCTGTTTGCCACCGCTTTCATATTCCAACTGCCATTCCTTGCTTTTTTCCGTCGCGGCTCCCCAACCTGTGTGTCGTGGCTCGTGCCCACCCCAATTGACTTTTAAGTCCTGCAAGAGACTCTGCGCGGATTCGGAAGCTGGATGTTTTGCCGTCAAACTCGATTTCTTCTTAATCAGTGCCTCTTGGTGCCTCCGCGTTCTGTTTTATCTTCACTCTAGCACGTTTTGAATTTCCGTATAACTCGTTCAACATGTCACCCATCCGCTGCTGTCCACCTCACTCCCCACCCCCTGCTTTGGAGACCCCAGGGACATTGCATTCGTGAAAGCTGGGGTTGGTAGTAGGCGGTGCCTCTAAGTTCTCCTTGTATCTGTAGTCTCAAATTATGTTTCCGGTCTCCTGCAAACTGCCCACCGCCAGCCACATTTCCTTTTTTAATTAACCTAGTCTTATTTCGGATGCTCTTCTTTCCCTCTTAAAGTTGTCATGGTGTCTTTCCTTTTTTCCTAACCCCACTCTCCCCATAGGCACACGCACACAACCGATTTGAAACTGGGTCCTGAAAAAGGAGCCAGAGTCGTCCAATCCTGCTTTCACTTTTGCTTCTAAGTCCAGCCAGGTGTTTGTTCTCATGGTCTGGGGTGGGATATCAGGTTCAGAGCACTGCTGGAGAAGAGGGGTTTCTTTGGGAGGCAGGGATGTCCCAGGAGAGACAGTTTGGGAGCCTAGACCAGAGGGTACACATCAGGGACTCCCAAAGGGAAAGAGAAGGACTTGTCAATGGGTAGGATCCTTAACGCAGGCATCTGTTTTGGCAGGATACATATTATCAACCCCGGGCCCTGGAGAAACATGCTGACAGCATCCTGGCACTGGTATGTCTGCCCTGGCACCTGGGACTACTGCATCTTTTTGGCTGCAGTTGCCCTCCTGAACTTTCTCCTCCCCAGCCTGGGAGAAGGCATTGCCCCTGGGGGTGGGGGATGTTCTAGACTCTGCAGCAGACCTCTCCAACACACAGAGATACGCAGTTACGCACATGCATACTTGGCACCCCCCTTTGGCTTGTGTCCTGCTTTCTCTCGAGAAGCCTGAGCCATGAGGAAAATTTGTTTAGCCTTGGGACCATTCACAGGTGCTGAGTCCTGCAGTCCCCAGTGACCTGTCCTCCTGGCAATTAACCTCTTTGGTTAAAGGGACAGCTGTTCCCTCTGGCAGGGTTCCTATGGTGAAATTTGTGCAACCCTTGTGGGGACTGGGCAAGGGGCTGTCCTAAGCAGGGCCGATCAAAAAGGCTTGGTTAACTTGAGTAGAAAGAGAGATGGGCCGTTAAATGTGATGAATTATGTCTGGAGATGATAATAGGAAGAAAATAGATCTTGTACTTACTTTCGCCAGCCTGTTCTGTTCCAACACATTGCCTTTCAACAAATATTGCGCACCTACTGTGTGCATGATGTTATGCTCAAAATAGGTACTTCACATGATATCCCTCAGGTTATCCACTTGGCTCAGAGCCTAGGCCTGGGAATGGCGGGGGCCCGGAGGGGTGGGGTGGGTGGGGTGTGTGTGTGTGTGTGTGTGTGTGTGTGTGTGTGTGTGTGTGTGTTTTGATTGCTTGTCCCTGTCTCTCTGCTGCAGGCTTCAGTCTTCTGGTCCATCTCTTATTACTCCTCTCCCTTCGCCTTCTTCTACTTATACAGGAAAGGTCAGTGTGGTTTCAAAGGTGGTGGGACAGGAAAGGGGCAGGTTTTTGGCAGATGAGCCGACCCCCTAAAGAGGAAAGATTTGCAAGGATGGCTTGGCTTCCCTCTTTCATCAGGCATCTTCTCCCTCAAGAAGGCGTGGCTTTCCCAATGAGAGGGTGTGGGGTGGAGGTTTGGGGTGGAACTGGGAAGAGAATCTTGAGGGGCGGTGGGGAAAGCTTCTCACATAGTTTCTCTCCCCTCCTAGGTTACTTAAGTCTGTCCAAAGTGGTACCATTTTCTCACTATGCTGGGACATTGCTACTACTGGTGGCAGGTGTGGCCTGTCTCCGAGGTAGGTGGAGAGTGAGTCTGGTTTGTGTCTATCCATCACTGGGTAAATATTTATAAAGTAGCTTCTGCAATTTGTGTTGGCCTCTGAGGGAAAATAATTGAGAATGGTCAAGGTATGGTCTTTTCCTTAAGTTGTAAATATGAGAAAATAATTAGGAGAAAAGTTTGCTGCTAGAAAAGGTGCCTATACCCTACAATAATTCCACTTATATTTATACCTATGTTTGTACTAATGCTAAACTGAAGATGGCTCCACAGCCACAAATAGTAGGGTGGGTAAATTCGTTGAGGGTACAGTTCTACAACAGCACGCCAAAGCAGTGCAAATGAACAGACTCAGCTATGCTCAGTAATCCAGATGAAGCTAATAAACGTAACATTGAATGAGAGAAGCTGACTGCCAAATAATTTATGCAATATGTATGTTTCTATTTATATAAAGTTCATAAGGAATATATATATAAGTGGCAAACACTAAAGAAAATCATGGGCATTGTTATCTTGAACGTCAGGAGAGTGATTACCTGGGCGGGGGTGGGGACAGGATGGGGAGG